AAAAAGTCTCATAAGGTAGCTTAGTGTCAGGGTCTTGAATTTCATTTTCTAATACTGAGAAAAAAATCCCTTCATGCTATTTACTTCAGTATTGGGAATTTTAAAATATTGTAATTAAAAGGCAAGCTGGGTGTGCCGATGAATACCTGTAATCCCAACACTCAGGAGACTAAGGCAGGAGAGTCAAAGTGATTTTAAGGCTAGCCTGGGCTATACAGCAAGATGCTGTCTCCAAAACAAAAAACAAAAAACTTTCCTGTATCAGAAAGACTTTATGGGATCTGAGCCTTTTGTTCTTACGGCTTTGTGGAGTACAGACTATTTGATCCTCTTTTTGCTCCCGAGAGTTAGTTAATTGCTACTAAAGTCTACAGGTAAACATCAAGCCTAGAGTCACTCCTTGGGAGGACAGAAACACTAAGACGATACTAAGATCTTAGGAGAGTTGTGTCACACCATGTTGGACTAGTAATGCAGATATTTAAATGGTATTTGTTCTTTGAGAATATGTCATACCGGTAGGCTGCCTGAAGTGAGGTTATTCACTGCAAATGGATTGGTCTCTTTGAATATTACTACTTTATCCTGAAGATCTGTGTCCTTGGTGTCGTGCATTTTCACCTTACATGTCACCTTTCCGTGTTTGTGTTCCTTTTCTCAGGTAACCCTCTGTCATCTCTTCCTCTATAGGGTTATTACTGCATCAGCAGTCCATGGAGATGGGTGGTGGAGGGTGCTCCCACGGAGTCGGTGACTCGTGGTCCTTGTTTTCTTCCCTGGGTTATCTCATTCTTCACTCCAGCTACCACCATGCTGGCTCTAGGGGTCATGAGAATTGAAATAAACTGACTGAACCCATTTTGATTTCTGTAGTGATCTGCTGAGTGGGACTTTTTGTCATGCTGAGAATGTTCAATATCTAAGCACGTGTGACTACTGAGCACTTAAACTATAGCTAAGGCTACTGAGGAATTGGACTTTTTTTTTCTTTTTCAGTACCACAGATCAAACTCAGGACCTTGGGCTTTCGGGGCAGGTGCAGGACCACTGAGCTAAATTACTGGCCCTGAACTTTTTAATCTTATTTTGTCTTAAATTTGACTACTTGGGACTGTTGGCCTCCCTGTTGGTGCTCTGCGCCTCTCCAAAGCCTCTGGGTTATTCCTTCATTACTGATTTTCTGCCATGGATGATGGCTTTTGGGGGTTTTCTGGTGGCACTGGGGATTAAACTTTTACACTAAACTACATCGCCAGCTCTTGAAAAACGTTGTTAGCATCGCCAGACAAGGCTTGCTGATTGGCTGAGCTGCCCATGGTGGGCTCCCTGAAGTGTTGGGCTTGTAGGTGTGTGCTGTCAGCACCCTTCCCTAGCTCTCATGGTGAGATCCCCCTCTGTCCCCCTATCAGGAGTGGCAGTGATGGGCAGTGGGGTGATTCGTTGGCCCTCCAGGAGCGGGAAGCTTGATGGTGGTCACAACCCATGTTTGATAATTCTTCCCTGTGCAGACAGACTTAAGGGATTGGAGCCTTTTGTTCTTAAGGTTCTATGGAGTACACAGACTTTTTGATCCTTTCCTTTTGCTCCAGAGAGTTAATTGCTAATAAAGTCCACAAGTAAAAATCAAGTCTAGATTCACTCCTTGGGAGGGGAGAAAATGTTCCGTTTTCTGTTGACTTAAGTTTTTTGCTTCACCTTATTTTACTGGGAGAAGTGTGGCTTTTGATGTGGTGTCCTGACAGATACAACAGGTGTTTCTGCCACCTTCATTGCTGGCTCCACACAGGCACCATACCCACTTTCTTTTCTTTTTCTTTTTCTTTCCCCTTACCCAGTTTCTAACGGCATCAGAAAGGCCTGGGTCCTGCTGTGTCGGCTTCTGGAGAGGGCCCCATCTAGTGGTCAGGTCATAGTTTTCTGTGCTCTGGAGCAAATGTTTGTTTTTTTTGTTCTTACTACTTAACTCTTTCTCACAGGGTTGTTGTGATAGTAAACAAGATGACCTATAAAACATATTAGATACATTCAGTAAATGTTCATTCTTTTTTTTATTTTATCCACCACGCTGAGTCCACCACCCAAGGCCTCACACTTTCTACCACTGGGCTTCATTCTTAGCCCAGCCTCTACTTATTTACTTGTTTAGAGATAGGGTCTGACTGTGTAGTTCAGGCTGGCTTTGAACTCACTATGTAGCCCAGGCTGGCCTCCAACTCGGAGGTACTCCTCCTGCCTCAGCCTCCAGAATGCTGAGATCACGGGCATGTGCCACCATACCCTGGGCCTTTCTTATTTTAAACTGAGGAGACTCAGGAGAGATCCCAGGTGAAAGGAACCCTTTTCTTTTTCTGGTACCAGGGATCGAACTTAGGACCTTGTGCTTGTGGAGCAGGCAGTGGCACCACTGAGCCAAATCCCCAGCCCAAGGGACCTTACGAATAACTGTTCCATTCAGCATCTCTGTTCAAGGAAGAGGCCCTGAAACCAGCCCTGGGGTCTGACAGTATGGAGTGGTCAGGGAAGCACACTGGGCCCACCTGGCTTTGGTTTTGGGAGCACCAGAGCATCCAGCCCAGCCTCTTGTGGCCTCTGCACCTTCTTCCTGTGAAAGTGAGGAGGAGGGAATGATCACTAAATGAGGGTCCAGGAAGGGAGAGAACCTCTCACGCCAGGCCAGAGCAGCCTGGTGAGGTGCTCTTGGGACCCAGCGAGCCCCACGCATAGGGGCTCTGTCCCCATCATGCTTGCTGGCATCAGTCACCTGCAGGGTGTGGCGCGTTCATGGCAAAGCAGACTGGTCTGCTGTCTCCCCTGGAGGTTCTGATAATGAAATCAGACTGATCACCTGCTGTGGTGTCTCTTACTTCCTAACACGCCTGGTGTGAAGACGTCAGGGCGGGCTTTGGCAGTTTAAGGTGACAAGACTCAGAACATGAAACTAGAACAGTTTTCTGCTGCTATTTCCATTTCTTCTCACCTTAAGTTGTAAAATAAGACGAATCTCCTTTTTGTCTTGCTTGGAAGTTAAAGGAAAATGAGATTATGAAGAAATATTATGAGAAAATGACTGAAACTTCTAAGTGCATGTCTCAGAGGTAGGCCTGTGTTGTCCTTCCTGGCTAAGCCACACTTCATTACTACACTTCAAATACTTATTTGTCCCTGAGAGAAGAATGCAACCAAAGCTGTCAGAAAAATACTTTCTGTGATTTCAGCGTTTTGCTTGTTTGATACTACCATTTCTGGTTCTGAGAAATAGATTTGCTGCTTTTTGTTCACTGACACGGGGGTGGGGGTGGGGTAAGCATTGCTCGGCTTTGTAAAGCTCTGCTTCCTGAGTAGAGCTCATTACTTGTCCAAGCCTAAATCTAGCCTGGCAGTTAATTGATGTGGTAGCTGATGGTAAAGCTGGATCATAGTTTTTAAAAACAAGAAACTAGGTCATCCTCTTTAATAATAGGGGGGAAAATCTACGCACATGGTCAGGCAAAACGTTTTCTATGCTGACAGTTCTGCTGTTCTGTGTCCTCTGGAACACTGGGCTTTGGTGAGGGAACACCGGTGTTTTCAGTAAACTAGTTTACACACACTCGGGTCTGTTTTTAGAATCCCCATTCGTGTTTCCAGTCCTTAGTTTCTCAGTCATCTTTCCATATTATATTCATTTCATTATTTAATCTCTTGCTAAAAATAGATTTAATTCAAGTAAATTGAAAGGGATAATTTTTAACAAGTGATAATTTGCATAGTATTTATAGAAAACCAATTTGTAAAAAATTTGCTTTAATTTCTGCCTCAGCATCTTTATGTGGTATATTTTTTGGTTTTTAATTGTACTCTGATAAAATGTACATAAACTTCCAACTACTTGTAAGTGTGCCATTTACTGGCATTAAGTACATTCACATTACTGAGCAACCATGACCTCTGTCTCTAGAACTCTTCATCATTCCAAACTGAAATTCTATACCTGCTAATCAGTAACCCCCCTTTGCTGCTTCTTCCTAGCTCCTGGCAACCATCATTGTATTTCCTGTCTCTGAATTTGATTCCTAGGTACCTTACATAATGGGATTATATAATATTGGTCATTTGATCACTTATTTCACTTAGTGTAATGTTACCAAGATGCATCTGTGTTGTAGTCTGTATCAGACTTTTCTTCCTTTTCAAGGATAAATAATATTCCATATATGTGTATATGACACCTGTTTATTTGTCTAGCGACAGTCTTTGGGTTGTGACCTCCTTTTGGCTGATTGTGAATAATGCTGCTGGGAACACAGATATACAGCTATCTGCTGGAATCCTCACTTTCAGTTTTTCTGAATTGTCTCATACTTTTTTTTTTTTTTTTAGGAACTGGTAAACTGTTTTCCACAGCAAGTGTTTACCATGTTACATCCCAGCAGCAGCCCACGGGGGGTTTCACTTCCTCTACCTCTTTGCTAGCACTTGATATTTTGTTTATGTGTTGTGTTTTTATGCCATGTTTGAAATTCAGCTGAGGCTCTTTGCTGATACCGCAGTACCAGCCCAGTATGCTCTGAGAGGGAGGGATTGTAAACGCTGCTTGATGCCCTGCAACGTGTTCCTCCTTAGAAAGAAGAAAGCTCTTCGCCCAGTCCTAGCGACATTACCCACTCTTTTCTATATCAGTACTTGTGGGGATTGGTGGTGTTGGGGGTCAAACCTGAGCAAGAAGCAACTTTGTGTCTCTTTCTGTGTGGAGGTGCTTCTCTTCTTTCTCTCTCTGGGAGAAGTGTTAACTGGTTCTGGGTGCCAGCTGCAATGAGTTTGGGTGTGATGCTGAGCTAACTTTGTGAAGGAATGCGAGATGGAAAGTGAAGGGATGGCTTCCCTAGCTTACAGGGTAAGAGTTTGCAAATTTAAAATACTGAAGGTAAGAAGACTGATCCAGCGGTCTGGAGCACTGTCACAGCTCTCACCATGTGACGCTGGTTCCTCTCGCTCACTTCCTCGTTGCTTGTCTTGCACAGGGACCATGGCCCAAGTTGCGATGTCTACACTGCCCGTTGAAGATGAGGAGTCCTCCGAGAGTAGGATGGTGGTGACCTTTCTCATGTCTGCTCTTGAGTCCATGGTGAGTTCATAGTTGGGTAGTGTTGGTTTATGGATAAGGTCGATTTGTTTTTGTCAGACACTAATTTTATATTTTGGGATTTTTTTGTTTGTTGTTACTGGTTTCAGGACTGGGGATTGATTGAGACCTAGGCCTTGCACATGCTAGACAAGTGCTCTACCACTGAACTGCATTCCCAGCCGCCACCGCCCCCCCCCGTTTATTTAATTTTGAGACAGAGTCTTACTAAGTTGCCCAGGCTGACTTTGAACCTGTAATCCTCTTGTCTCAGCCATTCTGGTAGCTGGGATTGTACCCAGCTGGTTTATGGTATTTTTGAAATAAGTTTTCACTGTGTAGCCCAGAAAGGCCTACAATTTATGATCCTCCTGCCTCAGCCTCTGAAGCTTGGTGGTTCAGGTCATTGCTTAGAAATAGGTCCTGGGTTTACATGCACACACGTGTGTGAGTGTGTGTATGTGTGCACGTGCACGCTGGGGATTGAACCCATGGCCTGTACACTGCTCCATCTCTAGACCTTTTACATTTTATTTAGCTAAGTCACTTAAATTGCCCAGGCTAGACAGGAACTTACAACTCTCCTATCCCAGCTTCTCAGAGCACTGGGATTATAGGTATGTGTCACCACACATGGCTTCTCATTAATTTTAATACCACCGAGTGTTATATTTATTAAGATACCTTTTTTTCCTTAGCTGTACTGGGATTGAGCCCAGATCCTTGTGCATGTTAGGCATGTGCTCTACCACTGTGCTGAGTTCTTAGCCCTTTTAAAATTTTGAGAAAGGGTCTTACCATGTTCCCTAGCTTGTACTCAAGGTCAGCTGTCCTGCCTTAAGCCTTCCCAGGGCTGGGATTGTTGGTGTGCACTGCCAACTCTGGCACCTTTTTTTTTGGTACCGGGGATCAAACTCAGGATCTTGTGCTTGTGACCTTCTTTTTTCTTTTTTCCTGGTACTGGGATCAAACTCAGGACCTTGTGCTTGGGAGGCAGGCACAAAGCCACTGAGCTAAATCCACGGCCCTCGTGAACCTTCTTAAAAAGCAGATTTCCGTAGGTTTTGAGAAGCCTGATAGTCTTTATGTACAGAATGCTTGTTTTGGTCCTCCCTTAAATGTCACTGACACTTGATAAAATTGAAATCACCTGTCTTTTGAATAATGGTAGTACTATATGATTTATATTATATCCATAAAATGGAAAACTTGCGACATGTTTCCTTCCCTGATTGGCCTCCAACTGCTGGGCTCAAATAATCGTCCTGCCTCAGCCTTTGAAATAGCTGGTCTACAGGAGCGTGCTGCCACATCTACATATAAAGTTTTTAAAGACTGCTTCATCTCAAAGTAGTATACTTAGTAAAAATCAATAAGCAAAATACTCACCTAGCTGTGCTTCCAGTTGTATATGCCTAGGGAGATACTTGGGTGGACTTGTGTAGGGCATCCCTGCTGTGTCAGACTCTCCTTTTCAGGACGCAGTGGTCGCCGCTCCCCAGCAGTGTTCACCTCCCCTGTACTCTCAGCCCCACGCAGTGATTGACAGTGCCGCCAGCAGCCTGTGTACACTGCTGCTTCTTGGGAACTCTGACCCTGTAACATTACAGAAGATTCTGCTTTTCTTCTTATGAGTTCTGTATTTTCTTCTGTTTTAAACCAGGCACAAAACCCATTTAGAAAGATAGATACATTAAGGCGGCCGTGGTGGTGTGTGTGTACCTGCACTCCCAGTCCTCAGGTGACTGAACAAGATTGAAAGTTCAAGGACAGTGAGGTACTGCTCAAAACCAAAATGAAGAAAGAAAGGGGCGGGAAAGGGAAAAGGATAGGAGTGAGTGAAGGAAGAAGAGAGGAAGCCATTCCAGTGGAGACTCTTATGTATGTGATATGTATAATCTGATTCCAGATTATGTATGAAAACAGTTGTACGTGTTGGGTTTTTTATTTGTCGAACAGAAATGGTGCTTTTATGCAACTAAACACAACCTAATGCTTGTTTTTTGTATTGTAGTGCAAAGAACTGGCAAAGTCCAAGGCAGAAGTGGCCTGTATTGCAGTATATGAAACAGATGTGTTTGTTGTTGGAACCGAAAGAGGACGTGCTTTTGTCAATACCAGAAAAGATTTTCAAAAAGATTTTGTAAAATACTGTAAGCATTGTATTTTATATTTTGTATATTATAAATTTTAAATCTAAGTATTTACAGATAAGATGCCATTTTTCTAAAACATTTATACTTTAAAACTTTGGAATGTTATTGAAGCATTTTTAAATTCTCAAAATCAATCACTGAAGCAGTAACCTACAGGGTAGACACTAAAGAGTTTAAGAAAAATGAAAGTCAGGTTTGAGGGCACATGCTTGTCATCCCAGCGCTCAGGAGGCTGAGGCTGGAGGATTATCATAAGTTTGAGTCCAGCCTAGAGTACGTAGTGAGACCTTGTCTCAAAAAACCAAAAGAAAAATGATAAATGTTCATTGCATTGTGTTCTTAGCTTAGTATTTACACTATTTTGGTGGAATATATCAAAAAGCAGGTAGAGAAGGTTTGTATTGGTTAAGTTCAGAAAAGTAAGTCTCCCTCCCCTCATTTTGAGCTGGGGACTGCACCCAAGGCCTCCCCAGCCCCTTTTCATTTTTTTCTTTCATGTTTTTTCTTCCTAAGTTGACCAGGCTGGCCCTTGAATTTGCCATTCTCCTACCTCAGCCTCCCACATAACTGGGATTACAAGTGTGCATCACAAAGTCCAGTTAATAGGTCTTCTGACAGTGGCCTTTGTTAACAGCTCTTCTCTTGATAAATACTGATGTGTTGAAACAGCTTTGTCTCTGGACGGTTGACTTTCTTTTAGTATTTGCTAAAGCTCAGCAAGTTTCCCCAGCTCATCTTGTTACAGGTCCTCAGTGAGTTTCATTGGCAACCAAATTCACAAATGCTCCAGAATGGAAGATCATAAAACAAAGAGAGCAGTGAAACTGACAGTGTGATGTTGGTACCCATAACCTCTCCCAGAGTGTGTCTACCTGAACACTTGCCATAGGTCTTGTTCACTTAGTGATACAGCATTTTATTTTGATTTTTTTTTTTTTGGTACCAGGGATCAAACTCAGGACCTTGTGCTTACGAGGCAAGTGGTGGAACCACTGAGCTAAATCCCCGGCCCTCATTTTATTAAGCATGGAACAGAAACAGAAAAAGGCACATAATACACAGGCTGCTAAGATCCAAAGTAAAATTCTGTTACCTTCATCTTAGATGCTGTTCATGATAAGTGGAGCAGATCATGTGTGCATAAAACATCCTGTTTGATGCATTAATTTTAATTCTCAGTTCTTTGTAAAAAGCTTCAAGTTGCACTGGTGCTGTGGCTTAGCTGTGGAGCACTTGTCCCAGGCTCTGGGCTTGGTCTCCAGCACCAGTGAGAAATGATCTGCAGCCCAGGGCTCTATCCTTCTCTCTCCCTGTTAGAATCCTTGCTTTGTAATAGTAACCTATTTTTAAAATTTTGTCATTATTTCTTAAATTCTGAGAAAGTTTTAGGGCTGTACTGTTTGCATGTGGAGCTTTAGGCTAACATTATTTGGCCGCTGTATGTGTCAGCTGCTGCCGGTCCCATGAACCCTGTAATCACCCCGGCAGCTGTGCGTAGCACCAAGCGATTGGGCATTGTCCTCAGTTGCAGATCGTAGCTCCTCCTGTTGGTGTGCACACACTGTGTTTATTTCAGGAATTCAGTGCCATGGGAAATGGTCTTCGGCTATAACCTAGCACCTGTGATAAGTGCTCAGTTTAGGATAGACCCATTGTAAGTTGAAGATGCTGGAAGTAAAAAGTGCGTGTAATATACTTAGTTTTTTGTGTATTACAGCTAAATTGGCCTGTCCTTAAATGTATGCCCGGACCCTTATATTAGCCCACAGTCTGGCAAAATCAGCCTGTACAAAGGCTATATTATAGTAAATGTTGAATATCTTATAATTTGTTGTATGTTGAAAATGAAAGAACAGTTGTATGCATAGTTTTAGGAATTCTTTGGGGGAAATCTAAGTCCTTTGTGGATGGTTAGGAAAGTGCTGTCTACTAGAAATAAATGTCACTCATGTAATTTAACACTTTGTAATTCTGTTTCGAGGCAGGGCTTCACTGTGTAATTCAGGCTGGATCACCATGACTTTTGAGGCCAGCCTGAACTACAAAGCAAGACCCTGTCTTGGAAAAATGATGTTCCTTCTTAATCCTTTTTTTGTGTGTGCGTGTGTCTGTCTGTCTGTGTCTGTATATTGTAGGGTGTTCTGTCATTGAGATGCATCACCAGTCCTGTTTTTGGTTGTTTTTTGAAACAGTTTTGCTATCTTGCCTAGTCTGGCCTAGAATTTAAAATTTTCCTGTGTCAGGATACTGAGAAGCTGGTATTACTGGTTTGTTCTTTATAACAAATCATAAATGTTCAAATACAGAAAGGGTATTCTTTGTTTTTTTTTTGGAAGGGTCTCACTATGTAATCCAGTTTGGCCTTGTACTTACTATGTATTCTGGCTAGCCTCAAACTCATAGCGATCCTCCTGCCTCAGCCTCCTGAGTACTGGGATTATAGGCGTGTACCACAATGTCAATGCTGGGCAAAAATATTCTTTTTTTTTTTTTTTTTTTTTTTTT